ACCTACCCTTTCATAAAATCCATTATACAAGACCATATATTGGTCGATCCTGCCTGTTTTTATATATTAAGGAGCAAGAGTTTTTTTCTCCTATAGTTCCAATCCAATCAGGCTCATTTTATTTATGTCCGGAGTTTTTTTTCACTGCCCGCTCAACATTCTTCCTAGCATACTACTTATTCAATAACTATGGATTAAGTGTTGTATGAATTCTGTATACATCGTCTAAAAATATAAAATTAATGTAAAAGTTATTCTTACTTGCTATAAAATGATCCCCACGGGTCTGGAATAATAATAATAATAGTAATTATTATTATTATTGTTGCTCTTAGACACTACTTCATTGAAGGTGGAATGCCACTAAAAGAAATGGATGTATACAAAGAACTAAATATTTGGACAACTTTGAATTTACAATCCTCCGAACAGTGTGGAAGATCGGTCCAAACGGTAACGAGTATCACCCACTGGATCAAGAGTGTTTGCGTAGTCTTTCCTCCCTATCTATTCGCGCAGATAATTAACACACTTGTTTGGCCACATTCATTATATGGAGTGCCCGCATGGGTGAATAAGGACAGTGACCCCATCAATCAGACACGAAGATGGGCGACAAAACTGGTGCGCAGTCTTAAGACGCAGTCTTCTTCAGAATGACTGATCAAATTTAATTCGATTCCTCTACACCATAGACAAAAAACTACTTGTGGTCAAGCTAAACGCACGCAGTTCAATTTCAACTATATGTGAAGCTTTGCATTTACTTTCATGTTAATAATCAATTTATGCCTGTTTTCTTACTTTTGTCCCTTTTAAAATTCGGTTTTCAATAATTTTTCCCAGTTTTATTTGACAGTCTGACAAATGGTCGTATTTTTTTAAAAAAACCTTTGCAGGGACTCCTTTCCCGACTATCTCTTTCTAGTTTTCTTAGTAAATTAACAGTAGTGCTTGCTATTCAATGCGTTTTTCTGTACGTTAGCAACGTTTTGATCTTTGTACTGTAACGAAAATCTTATGTTGTCTGTAATGCTCTGCAGAGCACGTGCTAAAAGACGAAAGCTTGTGGCCTCCCCATCGTCTCCGGGTGTTAGAATCGTGACCGAAGACATAGCAGGTTCCAGCATATGTTCTTCGCCTTCTGCAGATATGGCTAACTCACAAATCCTCTTAGTACATGTAGAACTTCTTGATCCTTTAATTACCCAAAAATACGCCTCGGCTAGTCGTAGCAGGCCATCAGCCGACGAAATACTTGATCAGTTGATATATGGCGACATAAACAGTACTTCTGAAAAAGTAATTGAACAAGCTTTTAAACTTTTTGGAGTAATTAGTCCTGAAACTGAGGAGAGAATTAAACGCAAGCATAATTTCGTACTGCGAAACATTCCGAGCCACTTATCTGCTATGGAGGGAGCGCATTTGTTCCTACGAAGTTGTGGCTTGAGTTTCAGTGTCACACAAACTCAACGACGGCGCTCGCTTAGCCGTAATGCGCCGATCCTGGTTACCCTTTTTCTCCTTGATAGAAGTCGATTTTATCTTGTCGAGGAGGGAGATAATTGGAGACTTCTGTCGTAAATGGAACCACTCCGTTTCGCCAGACCTCGCACCCCTGCACCCGATAAATCCAGCCGATTTTCCCGCCGTTTAATAGAACTCTTGCTCCAGTGAAAGCAATGCGTCCCCCACCACCTAACTTGTTCCAACCACGGCCGTTTTACCAATGTATTCCTCATGCTAGTGTCCAAACTGGACCAGTTCACTCATCTGATCCTCCGTTTCGTTCCGGCTGGAATGTGTTGCAGAATCTGGCCCACGGATTTCCAGCTGAAAATTAGTCAGCAAATGGTCACCAATTCACCTGTCCGTCATTCCCTCACCCAAGTCCTACCCCTTACTATCCACGTCAGAATTTTTTGATGCAACTAAATTTTTTGCAGAACCGGATGGTTACATCCAGACCGTTTGCTGCGTGGGCAGATCAGCACTGGACGATGTGGCTCACCTCCCTCAGAAATAAACGGCCTTTCCCTTCAAAATCTTTGTTGTAAATGCCAGATCCTTGCTTAATAAGATGCCGTTGCTTCAGACTCTGGTGTTCGTCCATTGTCCGGATAGTGTTTTAGTAACTGAGACATGGGCAGCAGCCTCCGTAGCTGACTGCGAACTCTCTCTTCTAGGCTATAATTGCATTCGAAATGATAGCCAAGACAGCCGTGGTGGCGGAAGTTGCGTCTACGTTAAGCAAACACTTACATTTTTGCCGCTTGACCGCCCACATTTATTCGCGGTAGAAGGCAGCTGCTGACTTCAAGTTGCGCTAAAAAATAAGTTCTCCTTACTCGTTGGCTATGTTTATCGCCCTCCCAACGCCAAAGAAAAGTTTGATCGTTTACTCTCACAGGCATTTCATGCTGCGGCCGACTTAGGCTTTAAGTATCAAGTGGTTTCGGGCGACGTTAATCTCTCTGAAGTCCGCTGGTCTCCGCCGTCACGCCCCGGAAAGTTCGAAGACTTTCTTGAGGCTGTGGATGTTGGGATGTGGACTCAGGCTGTCGATTTTCCCACCCGAGTATCAACAAGGATACTTGACCTTCTTTTCTGTAGAGGCTGCATGTCATCGTTAGTGTCATCCCTAGGCGCACTCGGGGGCTCAGACCATAACATAGTTCATTTCAGTTCAGTTTATTGAGGGAAATAGGCGCAAGCCTTTGAGTACCCTATTTGCAACGTAAAAAATGTGTGGTGTACAGATAGATGTTCTGGGCTGAAATAGTTCGAACACGCCCATAATGGTGGGACAAAATGAGAAGGAGTTACAGGGGGTGAGCTCAACTTCTCATCGCTCTTGGCCATTTCAAAACATAAATATGTCCAGATTCTTCTTAAAACTTTGTACAGATGGTGACATCACAACATCTGCGGGAAGCTCATTCCATGGTTTGACCACCCGAACCGAGAAGGAGAACTTCCGCACATCCAGCCGTGCCTGCTGAGTGCGCAGTTTTAACGGGTGACCTCGGAGGTTGGTCGTGGTAGCAAATTCGAAAAAGTCCTCAAAGGCCAGACTGCAATCTAACCCCTTTACATTGCGGAAGGCTTGCAAGAGATCTCCGCGAAGTTGCCTGTAACTCAAAGGAAAGAGGTTCAGATTTATTAGGCGGGTCGCATAAGGAAAGGAGCTTTGACCCCTAACCATCTTCGTGGCTCTCCTCTGGACTCTTTCGAGGCAGTTTTGATCCACAACAGCCCACGGCCTCCAAGCTTGTATGCCGTACTCTAAATGCGGCCGGACGAATGTTCCGAATGTCTTAGAGAAAGCTTCTTCGTCAAAGTCCATAAACGCACGCTTTATGGCGTACAGTACGGACATTGCGCTTTTTGCCACACTCGAACAGTGGGCGGATGGTTTTAGGGAACTCGTCGTA